AGTTTGCCCTTACAATGTGACAACAATACTGCTACACAAGAAACAATCCTCTTGTTTAATCCTTACAACAAAGCCATGAGGTAGCTATCATGCTTCCCGTTTTATAAATTAGGAATCGAACAGGCTAAATGGTGTGCCAAACCCATTTTCTTACAAAGGGACAGAGTCAGGAATTCACACCCAGATCTGACTTCAAAGCGTAAGAGTTTAACTCTGCTGTATGATTCAAAACGACCTTTCTTAAGTAACACCCAGTGCAGTGCTCTCAATTTATAGATAAGTAGGGAGCACAGGATAGCAGAGCAGGTGAGAGTATGACCTCAAGGCCAGAGTACTTAGGTTCAAATTCTGGGTCTGCCATTTCTATCTGTGTCACCCTGAGTATGTTACCAAACGTTTCTGGGTTTCAGTTTCATTATATGTGAAACAGGGATCAGAAGGGTTAAGACGTAAGATTGTTATGAAGTCAAATGAGTGAGATAATTCGCATTGGAAACAATGAAAGTCTGGAGAGAAATGAAGGGAGAATAGACTCCTATCCAGTGGATGAGCCCTCAGAAAAGTGCATTGGGTCAGGGAGCATTGCCCCACCCCTGAATAACAAGGGGAGCCCCTGCCCAGGATCTGCTGAGTTTAGTTTCCTTATCTATTAAATAAAGCAGTTGAGTAAGATAGCCTATGAAGCCCCTTCCTCCCCTCTTTTTAACTTTAAGACCCTTAGTCTTTCTTTTTTTCTTTTTTTTTATTTTGAGACAGAGTCTCATTATGTTGCCCTCGGTAAAGTGCTATGGCGTCACAGCTCACAGCAACCTCCAACTCTTGGGCTTAAGCTATTCTCTTGCTTCAGCCTCCCAAGTAGCTGGGACTACAGGCACCTGCCATAACACGCAGCTATTTTTTGTTACAGTTGTCATTGTTGTTTAGCAGGCCCTGGGCCGGGTTTGCACCTGCCAGCCTCAGTGTATGTGGCTGGTGCTGTAACCACTGTGCTATGGGCACCGAGCCAAGACCCTTAATCTTAAACGAGGCCAGAGGTAAGGTGAGCATAAAGTCACAAATGTCCAGGGGCTAAATCTTAGAAATGACTTAGAACAGTTCCTGACTTGGTGAGGCCCTGCTGTGATGGAGCAAACATTCTTTTGGATAAGACAGATCTAAAGAAATGGTTGCATAATTACCCCATAGCTCAGTGGGTAGGACGCCAGCCGCATACACCAAGAATGGGGGGTTCGAATGGAACCTGGCCCAGCCTGCTAAAACAACAATGACAACTGCAACAACAATAAAAGAAAATAGTTCGGCATTGTGGCAGGTGCCTACAGTCCCAGCTACTTGGGAGGCTGAGGCAGGAGAATCACTTAAGCCCAAGAGTTGGAGGTTGCTGTGAGCTGTGACGCCATAGCACTCTATCCAGGGTGACAGCTTGAGACTCTGTCTCAAAAAAAAAAAAAATTACTCGATTGTGGATCTTTTTCTTTTCTTTTAGAGAAAGGATCTTGCTCTGTTGCCCAGGCTAGAGTGCAGTGGTGCAATCATAACTCACCAAAGCCTTGAACTCTTGAGCTCAAGTAGTTCTCCTGCATCAGCCTCCTGAAGTGCTGAGATTATAGCCATGAGCCACCATACCCAGCCTGACTGTGAGTCTTTCAGGCCAAGAATTGGCTGAATACCTGCTTCATGCTAATCAGTGTGGCGGGTCCTGGGGTAAATGCCTGGTGGATAAAGCAGAGATGTCCCCTGGCCTCCCAATCTCATTGTAATGAATGGTTTTTGAAGGAGACTATATAGGGGGATCAGGAAGGGCCTCCCTGAGGAAGTAGCTTTTTATTTTTAGTCTCACTTTGTTGCCCTGGGTAGAGTGCTGTAGTGTCAGAGCTCACAGCAACCTCAAACTCTTGGTTTCAAGCAATACTCCTTCCTTAGCCTCCCAAATAGCTGGGACTACAGGTGCCTGCCACTGTGCCTGGCAAGTCTTTTTATTTTTATTAGAGTTGGGGCCTTACTTTTGCTCCGGCTGGTCTCAAACTCCTCAGCTCAAGCAATCCACCTGCCTTGGCCTCCCAGAGTGCTGGGATTACAGGTGTGAGCCACTGTGCCCCAGCCAGGAAGTGACTTTTAAATTGAGATCTGAAAGTCGAGATCTTTTAAGCTCATCCTTCATGAGTAGGAGTTGGCCCAGGTACAGGGAGATGTGGAGAACTGTATTACACACAGCCTGTAAATGTTAACATCCAGGGTGGTGCCTGTGGCTCAGTGGGTAGGGCGCCGGCCCCATATACTGAGGGTGGTAGGTTTGAACCCAGCCCCTGCCAAACTGCAACAAAAAATAGCTGGGTGTTGTGGTGGGTGCCTGTGGTCTCAGCTACTCAGGAGGCTGAGGCAGGAGAATTGCCTGGGCCCAGAAGTTGGAGGTTGCTGTGCACTGTGTGACGCCATGGCACTCTACCAAGGGCAATAAAGTGAGACTCTGTCTCTACAGGAAAAAAAAAAAAAAAAGGGTGGCCTATGGCCCAGGGAGTGGGGCACCTGCCCCTTGTTTCTGTGGTGGGGGGTCAAACCCCCAAAACCGAAAAAAAAAAAAAAAAGTTAACATCCAGAGAGGGAAATTTGCCCCCAGGTGATCAAAGAGATCTTTGTCAGAACTGCCATTCTATTACAACCCAGGGAAGGCTGACTTCTAGGAAAGAGAGCTAAATGCTTAACCAAAGGATCAATATTAACATTTCCAGGAATGAGACCAACTGCTATTATACCTCCTAATGTACAACACGAAGAAAAACATACCACCTCTGCAGTACTCCTGTCAAAAATGCATGACCTGAATCTAATCATGAATATCAGACAAGCCCAAATGGAAGGTCATTTCTGAAAAATATTTGGTTGGTATCCTTCAAAAACATTAGTGTCATGAAAAACAAAGACAGACCAAGTAGCTTTCAGATTCGAGGATGTAATAGAGTATAGCCTGGAAAAAAGCAAAAATATAATCTGTCTCTTTAAAGACTCCTCTGCTCCTTTTGGAAAACTAAAACCTGCATGGGTGCCTCAGGTCAGTGGTCAGGAAATGCTGGGGAATTTTGTTCTTTGTGCTACAGGATGCACATGTCTTCCTCAATATGGGATGGATCAATATAATCAACCATAGTTCAGCAATAGCCTGAAGCTAAACACCCTTCCTTTAAAAGCTCTGTTTCTGTTTATGATTAGGATGATGACATTTTAAAACATGAGTCTCCATCCTCCTCATTTGCCAGCAAAACCCTCCTTCCTTTTACTCAAACACTTGTCCTCATTCTTCTGATGTGGCCTCTGGGACAAGTGTTGAGAACTCAGTCATTATCAAGGAGACTGAGAGACAGTGCTCCACAGGCATAGTTGAGACAACTAGAAAACATCCAATATGAACTGTTTATTAGCTAGTGGTTACATAAGTATGTATTACTGGTGTTACATATCCAGAATTTGATCATTGTACTGTGGATAGGGAAGAAACATCTTTGTTCAAGAAATATAATTAAGTACTTAAGTCATGATGTCTGCAACTTCTTCCCAAATAGCTCATTAAAAAAATGGAGAGAGAAAGCGAAGGTGACAAGATGGTAATAATGAGTAAATTTGGGTGAAAGATACACAGTTCTGTGGGAAGAAATCCTCACAACCACGACAAGAGTACAACTATTTGGGAGATAGCTAGTGAGAGAAAGTAGGCCAGAAATCAAACTGCATGATCGTAGCAACCCGCTTCCCATACTCCTGGAAATCCTCACGACCCTGACAAGAGTACACCCATCTTGGGAGGACAGCTAGTGACAGAAAGCAGGTCAGAGACCAAGTGACATGATGCCAGCAGCTCTCTCCCCACACTCCCAAAATACTTCAAGACCTGTGTTCCTGGGAAACATCAGAACAAGCAATGTCCTACCCTGGTTCTGGCTTACACTAGAGATAAGGTGCGAGATTAACACCTTTGCAGAAGGGAGTAATTCTGAGATTGGTCCCTGACATAGCATCATTCACTCTGCAGAAAAAGAGATGTCACCTCTCACCCACATTCCAACTATACTAATAACTGACTCCTGGTCAGACTCCATTCTGCTCTTACCCTCTTCTAATAAACTCTTTACATGGCCTCCTCTCCTTCTTCCATACCCTTCCCCCTGACTCTACCCTGGTCCCATCAAGTTCTTTGTGTTATTTTAAACTCTTGTTAAGTTTGAAACTTTTTTTCAAAAAAGAGGCGTGTTGATGGAAAAGAAGTGATACTCTACAAAATAATTTTAAGAGTTTTATTCAGAGTCATACTGAAGACCATGACCTAGGGCCATCCCCAAGAAACTTTGAGCAAGTGAACTGCTGTGGGGCCACAGTTTGGTTTTATATATTTAGGGAGACAGAAATCACAGGTAAAGTCATAATCAATATGTGGAAAGCATACATTGGTTTGGCCTGAAAAGGTGGGACATTTCAAGGGGGGACGCTTATAGGGCATAGGTGGGTTTAAATGCTCTTTAGATGACAATTGGCTGAAAGAGTTAGGCTTTCTCTAATAAACTAGGAGTCATCAAAAGGAATGCTTGAGTTAAGATGTCTGTTAATCAGAGACGAAAAACAGTATACCTGCCCAGACTCAAGCCAAATTGAGTATACTGAGGACCTGCGGGTATGTCCTGCACAGTCTTGGACCTGTTAATAAGTCACAAAGGATGGCATCTCTAAGAAGGGGAGGGGAGCATGATGAGGTATGTCTGATCTCCTTTCTCATGGCTAGCAACTCAGTTTTAGGGGATCCCCTTGGCCAAGAGGGGGTCCAGTCAGTCAGCTGCTGGGGGAAGCCTTAAGATTTTATTTTAGTTCACAGAAATAAATAAGTAAAGTAATAAAGAGAAGAACCATGATGTCACCAGCCAGTGCTGGTGGCCAGCAGCTCCCCACCCCACAGGCACCCCAGAACCCCATGGGATAATGCTTCACCACCCTCTATTTCATGGGGAAGAGAGTACCTCTTCTGTGTTGGGGACGTTGGCGATCTTTTTAGAGTGGGCAACGTGGCCCACGATGCCCATGTCTAGAGGGAAGACGATCTCCTGGTCCGGCATCACCAGGCAGTCCTCAAGGACAGCATCCTTGTGCACGTTGAAGAGCCGGGTGGCCAGCTCGGCGATGCCGTTGCGGGCCCTGTACATGAACAGGCTCATGCGGTCTGCCTGCAGGAGGAAGCACAGCTTCTTCATGACATTGAAGACGCATTTCTCAGTCTGCAAATTCTCCTGAAAGTCCCGCAGGAGATCAAAGATGATTTCACTCTCCTCTACACTGCTTGGGGTGTGGTAAGTGCTGAAGTCCACAGCTGCCTCCTTGGCCCCGAGAAGGTCTGAGATGACCTTGGCCCGGTAGCGGGCATTGTAGTACTGTTTGGCAAAGGCAATATTTGAGTCCAAGAATTTCTCCACCTCCTCTGCTGTCACCTCACCCATGGCTGGGGATCGCACTGGCTATTTCTGGGGGGTTGGGGGGGGCTGGCACTGAGGCCTTTTGCACTCAGTTTTGCAGTCTGCTGGCAAGTTGAATGTTTCGCTCCAATCTGGACTTCTCTGGTTCTGGTCTGTAAATTATACTGAGATGGCTGCATAGGAGTGGGAAAGAGCTTGAGAGATTAAGTCATTAATATTTCTCATGACAAGGATTATGGGGATCAGTGTGTTCCAGATGCTCTGGGCCCCAGCTGGGATAAGGTGAGAGTTCTCCTTTCACCTTGGTCTACTAAGAGCTAAGAAGAGATTTCTGCCCAGAGCCAAAGCAGAGATTGCAGACAGACAGCAGGGGACAGCCTACTATTTGTAGATGTTTTCTCCACCTTCTGTGGTCACTTTTTTAATCATTTGACATGTAGGCCTGGCATTTACTGTTTGGATTTGTTTAGCTTCTCTGCCCACATTCCTCCATGGCAGGAATGGCTAGGGCTGGGGGATGGGTGCACACCAGCCTCCCTGGCCCCCTGGCCCTCACCCCACCATTCCGTCCCATTCCCCCGCACTGTCCATGTGGACCCTCCACTCACACAGCCACTCGGCCTTCTTCCCTCATCTACACTGTGGGTCTGGCACCTGTAGCCTCTGACTTCAGTCTCCGCACTAAAGTCTTTCCCAGCTTTAGATTTACAGGACTCTAGTGATAGCATTCTCAGGGCTCTCACAAAAACAAAAGGCTTGTCATGGCTTTTCCTCAGTTATAGAAGTAGCACACATTTCCCTGTATAAAATACACAAAGAAGACATTTTTCTTTTTTTTTGAGACAGAGTCTCACTATGTCACCCTGGGTAGAGTGCCACAGCGTCACAGCTCACAGCAACCTCAAACTCTTGAGCTTAAGCAATTCTCTTGCCTCTGTCTTCCAAGTAGCTGGGACTACAGGCTTCTGCCACAATGCCCGGCTATTTTCTTGTTGCAGTTGTCACTGTTGCTTTAGCAGGCCTGGGCTGGGTTTGAACCTGCCAGCCCTGGTGTGTGTGGCAGGCACCCGACCCACTGAGCTATGGGTGCTGCCCACAAAGAAGACAGTTAAGATCAGAGAGAAAGTTTAAAAAAGAACAAAACAACGCAAAAATGCAACAAAAAATCAAATAAAAAAGAAAGACAATTAAGTATCCCATAATCCTGCTACTCAGAGATAACCTGCAGTTAACATTGTATTTTCTGTCCATTCCATAGAAGGTTAACCTTAAAAATCTATTTTCTTTCAACCCTTGATCTTTCTCTTGGCACTTTTAATGTGCTTTTTCTGGCTCCAGCCTGTACTTTCCTGGGCGGTCTGTCAGAAATGCACACAATGGTCCAGATACTATCAACTCCAGTGAATCTTGAAATACCAGAATCCTCACTGAAGTGCCCCTCCTGTACACTAGGAAGACAGAAACTTACTTTAGCTTCCGTGAATATATCTGCTAGGGCCTGGCATCTCTACGGGGTAAACACTGTGAAGTACATGATTATAGTGAGTGGCTGGCACTTTGACCTTTGTAAATAACCTTTATTGGAAAGATTACTTCCTTTAATGTAGAGTATAATAAGTTATTGGTCCTGCATCCATCTACACTGTGTGCACAGGACTCCCCTGGCCTGGCAGCCCATGCAGCAACTTAACCTCCCCAGACACTCCCATAACTATCTGGAGTCCTCTGTCTCAATGCTCTTCCTCAGCTCTCTGCATGTCATTGCCTTCTTTTTCTTTTTTAAAAAGGTTTTTCCTTCTGAAAAAATTTTAATAGGTTTAGGGGGTACAAATTGAATTCCATTACATGTATATATAATATAGTGGTGATGCCTGGGCTTTCAGTGTGCCTATCACCCAGATAGTGGACGTTGTACCCCATAGCTAAGTTCTCATCCATCACCCCCTCGCAACCTCCCCAGCCATTGCTTTCTTAACCAGGTTCCAGTTCGTGCTGGTTATCTGTAATTATCTTACCCCTAATAGCCCTCAACTATCTCCTACCCAGCTCCTGCCTGTCATATCATTCTATTCATTTCCTTTATTACATTTATTACTATCAGAAATTATAATGTTTATTTTTTGTTTCCTTGTCCTACTGTCCATCTTTCCACTATACTGTGAGCTTCATGAGGGCAGGGACCTGTCAGATAGGCCTTGCAACGCTGCCTGACACATCCTTGGTCCTTCCTTCCTTCCTTCCTTCCTTCCTTCCTCCCTCCCTCCCTCCCTCCCTCCCTCCCTCCCTTCCTTCCTTCCTTCCTTCCTTCCTTCTTTCTTTTTTATGAGACAAAGTCTCACTCTGTCACCCTGGGTAAAGTCCCATCGTGTCATACCTCACAGCAATCTCAGACTCTTGGGCTTGAGCAATCCTCTTGTGTCAGCCTCCCAAAGGCTGGGACTAAAGGCTTCCACTACAAAACCCAGATAGTTTTTGAATTTTTCTAGTGGAGATGGGGTCTCACTCTTGCCCAGGCTGGTCTTAAACTCTTAAACTCAAGCAATCCAGCCACCTTGGCCTCCCAGAGTGCTAGGGTTATAGCTGTGAGCCACTGCATTCTTAATGGAAGGCCTTTCCATTTCTTAATGGAAGGCCTTTCTCTCCTGGCTTGGCAAACCCTGCCTGCTCTGGGAAGTCACAGAAGAGAAGACAGTTTCCCTCACCCCATCGACTAGCTCTTAGAACCACTGGAATAGCCTTGTTGGTCTCCACCCTCAGTAATACTTTGGCTCAATCCCATATTTCATGGTTTCTTACCCTTGACCTAGAGTTGATCCCGATTCCTAATTGTCCCACCACTTGTTGACTTAGTGGCTTTATGCCACTGGATGGAGTTCCTGTTGGGTCTGCGTCCTTAGAGCTTGACCAGTCTATGAAGTTCTCTTGGTTTTACCTTTAGAGTTTAATTTGGATCCACAGCCACGTAAGTTTGTCTTTATGTACAGTTTAACCTTCTGTGCATTTTCCTAAAGCTTAAATTCTGAATCTATAATTCAAAAAAAGCTAGAAAGTTTGGGTAATCCTGGAAAGTCAGGTAATATCTGGTCCTAAGTATATGTTTTTTGACAATAGCTGGAAAGAGGCAATAGGCAGGAGGAGACACTCAGGCAATGGAACCAGAGAGCTGAGTTTGAATCCTTTTCTTGCAATGTGCAAACATTTATTTGGGGCAAAATACTAAATCCCCAGCCTTAATTTCCTCATTTTCAGATTGCAAGTAACAATGATACTTTTTTTATAAAGTTGTTATTGGGAATAGAGGCAGTATATGTTTTAAACCTGGTTGATGGCCAGCTCTCAATAAATGCAGCCATTAATAATGATAATGTTTAAGTATCTGAACTTTAGAAAATTACACATAAAGTTAACAGTATGAGGCAGTGATAGTCAGTAAAAAGCACAAGTAATCCAGATATATTTAATTTCCTGTTCTATTTAACTGAAACTTTGTTATGTTTCTTTTTTTCTTTCTTTTTTGTTTTTTTGAGACAGAGTCTCATTATGTTGCCCTCAGTGGCCTCACACCTCACTGCAACCTCAAACTCTTGGGCTTAAGCGATTCCTCCCACATAGCTGGGACTACAGGTGCCCGCTACAACGCCCAGCTATTTTTTGTCACAGTTGTCATTGTTTAATTGGCCCAGGGCAGATTCAAACCTGCCACCCTTGGTGTATATGGCTGGCCCCATAACCACTGTGCTACGGGCAGCAAGCCTGTTACTTTTCTTTTTATAAAGTAATATTTCTAGTCTGGGCACGGTGGCTCACGCCTGTAATCCTGACACTCTGGGAGGCTGAGGTGGCTGGATTGTTTGAGTTCAGGAGGTCAAGACCAGCCTGAGCAAGAGTGAGACCCCTATTTCTAAAAATAGCCAGGTGTTGTGTCAGGTGCCTGTAGTCCCAGCAACCCAGGAGGGTGAGGCAAGAGGATTGCTTGAGCCCAAGAGTTTGAGGTTGCTGTGGACTTTGGGGTCATGGCCCTCTCCCCGGGGCAACAAGTGAGGTCAGTCTCAAAAAAAAAAAAAAAAAAAAAGTAGCAGAGCAGAGAGAGGGAAGGAGGGAGGAGAAGGGTGGGGTCTCAGTGTGTGACACATCTTGTACCCTCAATTAATCCCCGACAATTAAAACAAGAAGAAGAAAAGAAAAGAAAACGAGGCAGACATCAAAAGATTTGTTGATATTGGGCCAAACAATTAAGGGAGGTCTTTCTAGGGTAAGCCTCTAATCCCAACCAAAGCTCCCCCCCAAAAGTAATATTCTTTTGATTTGTGGATAAGAGAGTAGAGGGAAACAAAAAGAGGACTATAACTGTTACCACCCAGAGAAACATTTTGATACATATCCTTCTCTTCCAATCACAATTTTTAAAATGTAACTGTGGTGGTGCAACATATATTTTGTTTGTTTAAGAATGTAAGTAAATACCTTTTTTTCTTTCAGCAGGTGTTACTTTCAAAATATGTAAACATCTTTCTGTACCTTTAAATATTGTTTTTACCAGGTGACTTTTAGTGGCCTCATATACTTCCATCGGGTCACTATACATAATTTATTTAACATATTTCCAACTTTTGGTTTTTTTTTTTATTTTGTTTTCAATTGGCTTTCAGTCTTCTTAGTTTGAAGTTTTATTTTTATTTTATTTTATTTTGCTTTCTTTCTTTCTTTATTTTTTACGGAGACAGAGTCTCACTTTGTGGCCCTCAGTAGAGTACTGTGGAATCATAGCTCACAGCAACCTCCACCAACCCTTGGATTTAAGTGATTCTCTAGCCTCAGCCTCCCACATAGCTGAGACTACAGGTGCCTGCCAGAATGCCCAACTATTTTTTGGTAGAGATGGGGTCTCACTCTGGCTCATGCTGATCTCGAACCTCTGAGCTTAGGGCAATCCACCTGCCTCAGCCTTCTAGGGTGCTAGGATTACAAGCGTGAGCTACCACACCCGGCCAACTGTTGATTATTTTGATTGTAATTTTTTTTTTTTTTGAGACAAAGTCTCACTCAGTTGCCCTCCATAGAGTGCCATGGCATCATACCTCACAGCAACCTCAAATTCCTGGCCTTGAGCAATCTTATTGCCTCAGCCTCCTGGAGCTGGGACTACAGAGGCACCTACCAGAATAC